AAGAGCATAATGATAAGAGAACATTAATCGAGAACCACTGTTTTAGTGTCACGGTCGTATATGTGACGGGACATGCTCTCGTTGTACAAGCACACGCGAGATCTTGAAACTCTTTTACTCTCAGATATTTATCACTGTATTAAGAATTCCCTGCAGAGACCCTTGACGTCCGATAGAGGAACGAAACGGCTCGTGACATCATAGGCTGCAAATGCTGCACATTCGTGGCTTATCCCTGCCCAGTCGACCCCGATGCGAAATTCGTATGACCGCTTTTGGAGTGCATGTCTACACAATCAGGACGTATGAAAACTTCGTACTTGAAAGCCTGTAGGTAATCCTTGGGAGAGAAGGCTCGGTGATGAACGCGAGCGTTTTGAATTGGTATAAAAAGGTATCGCAGAACCTTTTTATTATCCTTCTTACGCTTGCAGCTCGCCCTTGAAAGAAAGGCCATATCACGTAGGTACTTTTAATACATCGGCCAAAAAAAAAAAAACCGATCCGAAGGATTTCGCGAGACAGGTCATAATGCACCAGAACAGTACATCCATTGTGACGATATAGCGTGATTATAACGTGCGCATAAATAATGACGTATAATTTCACGAGCGATGACTTCATGATGCCTATATAACTCGCATTATTATTTAATGATGCGGTCGTTTCGTTTATTACAAGTAGACGTGAACTTTAACGCTTGTTTAAAGTCTGTTTCTGAATCACGAAAGAAACTAAAGATTCTAATAAATTATAAATACTATAAATCACAAATATCATATTCGTATATAGTAATTTTGCCTTAATTAAAGTTAATATTCCGAAAATTGTCGTGCTTCCAGAATATAGTGTGAATTATTATTAACACTTGTAAAGGATTTAGAGGCTATAATATAATAAATTCGACAGCATCCCCTAATCACTGGAAAGGCTTCACTTTTCAAGACGCGCCGTCTAGTTCTCTCTGACGTCGACGTAACGACGCGTCAGCGAGGAGGTCAGGCTGCATCGCTTCGTCTTAGGAGCGCAATTACAAAAGTTTCCCTTTTAACGTTAATTAATGAGAGAGTCCGCCGTACCGTACTTCATTATGGCGCTATCCATTACGGAGGTGGCCTCTTCTCTCAAGTTGGGCATGCTTTCAATTCTCCCCCCGAGAGAAAGACCGTGCCAAACTGATTTACGAAGAGCGATCGACTTTTTTTTTTAACTCGCATAAAATTAGCCCCGTTAACCATAAGCATCCGCCACGGTACGTCTCGTTTTTGCGAAATGCGCGATTTCGATACGCAGAGCACGCAACCCGCGAGCCGACATTTCGCGAAATCAATCGCTGGTTAAGGTATTCAGCCGCGAGCCACTATTTGGAATTCGATCGCGTCCTTCCCGATGGAAAAACGTAAACGGACTAATACGTGTTTTCAGGCTACAAAGAATGAATAATCACATATATGCGTATCGACACCGTGCGATCCCAGAAAGGTCAAGAATAATTTGTAAAGGATCAGAAATGGTTTTAAGGCATCTTGTTACTCTAAGCTGTAAAGTGATGAAGCGCTATAGTTTAGATTTGCAATTTTGATTGCGTAAAAAATTTAAAATAACGTTAATCCGGCTTTAATCTTTAGAGGGGATACATTTTTAAAACCTTATAACTTTTTCTAAGTAAAATTTCTTATAATTCATTATTTCTTATCACAAAATATGACACTATTTCAACGCCACTATAATGGTTTTCCCGTCCTGTAAAGATTAAGTACATTTGCTACTCTTGAATACAATTAATTTTAATAAATTAGCGAGACTAAGGTCGAAGAAAGTTCCATTATCTTGAAAAAAATATGAAAAAAAAAAGTAATAACAGTGTAACATTTATAGTGTTAGCTCAAATGACACATACAGAAACATTCGTTCACAGTACATGGATGACGCGTTCAATCGGTTACCGGTTCGCCTACAGATTTCGACGCATTCGCCAAATACGGCGCATTGAAGTCGAATCGAGAAGCCGCACGCCGTCTGGTTTTCTACCCACGCCATGACCTGCCGTCGCTTTTTACGGGAAATATGAACAGACGGGCGTGGTGCTTTCGCTCTTTAAGTAAATTGGTCCACGGATGCGCCGCGCGGATCACTCGTGATAGTTATCGAATAATAGTTTAGAAAATTTTGATGTATATCAAGATTAAAAAATAAAAATCTAAAATTGTTGTTATTTCCCGGATAAAAATAAAAATCGAAGCGTAAATCGGAAAGTTTTCTTAGTAGAAAAATAAAAGAAGCGTAAACGGAACTTCTAAAAGACGAAAATTGGAATAATGAAATATAAAAGAATTATCATTTGCGCTTTTTTTACATTTTGATGTTTCAATTTTCGCCTCCTAGAAGTTTCGTTTCTATTACTCTTCTATTACATTCGACTTACGCTCTGATTTTTATTGGTTAATATAATTCCATGTTCCTTCGAATATAGAAAGATACAGAATTATTTTAGATACTCGTTTGATCTCGACTTTTAGATAACGGTTAAAACGCAAATAGACACGAGGAACAGGTTAACTTATGATTACCGTTAGGTGAAATTAGTAAGAAAGTTAACATAATTTATTTATTAAATTAATTTATACTTCAATTCAATTATTACGGTTGTCTGCATCTCTTCATGTAGTATAGAATAGACGCTATCCCGACGCTATTTGTCATATGGTCAACCCTAACTGTGTCTATAATGCCTAACAATAGTATCTTCATCCATGTAATAACGCGTTTTATTATGTATATACCATAAAGAACAAACGTTCATTAAAGTTAATGAACATCTTTAGATGTAAACGTATGTAAACATTTTTTTAACGAATGAGACACACACTTCGCATCGTTAACGCCCACGAATGTATTTTACATCTCAAAGTAAGTGTTAATATTTCAATCAAATAAGAAAATTATTTACCCGATTTATTTCCAAGGATATACGTAATACAGCAGGAAATAAATATTACACAAAATAGCATAAATAGCTTAAGTGTTTCTGCTCGTAGCATATTTTTTATTTATTTTTCTAAAATATATAAAACAACAACATTTAATGTGCAATTGGATGTACAATTGATTCATAATTGGTTTATAATTTCAACAATGATTTCCGTATTATCATGTTTCCTGAATCAATTTATCGATAATACTCAACAATAAAAAATGCTTAGCATTTTCTAGTCGGAGATCTTATCACAGGTCGTAATCATATACTGTTATTTATCCATACAAATTATAATTATATAAAGAAATGGTGTAACTAAAATATTTTATATCAAGTTTTTACTTTTTACCAGCCACGTGACATAATATGATATATCTACAATAATAATAACAATAACGAGAAAATAAATATTGTATATACAATTGTTGTGATTAGTAACAAAATAATTTATAATAACTATTTTAACAAGTTTATTATTTTTTGGATCAAGAAAGAATCAATCCATTCCTCACAAACGAATTAGTTTATCAGCAAAACGATTACCTCTTTAACAATCATGACTTGTTAAGAAAGTCTCATTGAAATAACCAACTGTTATCTCAATCATGTTCCTAACAATAAATAATGAACATTGGTGACACTTGTCCGTCCGAGAGGAAACACCGACTACGATCGTCGTAGTTTTGCAGTCTACGTCATCGCTCGGTTTACGCCGTGGCATCACGATGGACCGGTTCTGCGAAGGTGCCCCCACCGATTTCTCTGTCGCGATGCTCACGGTCCGTAATTTTTCTCGTCGCAAAATGTTGGAAGAAAGAACTGCGCGTCGTTATGTATGAATCATTGTGCGAAGCTTTTATAGAAATAAGTATCAAGATGAAACTTTCGATTTGCGCGTAAGATAGCACATCTTTGTAGGACTTCCTTGTCTTTTATGAATTGTTCTCCATTTCTTTATACTTTTACTATGCAACGATGTAGTTGGATACGATGTAGTCGATACAGTATGGATTGCTACTAATTATTCTATTTTATTATTTTCGTTTTTCATTTGTTGTCATGTGTTTGGATCTCAATAAATAAAAAAAGATATAATATCATGATCAAATATAGTGGTAATAAACTTTAATTATATTTAAATATGCGTAAAAACGCAAAATTGCGTTTTACACAGCTCCATCTAGGTTGGAATTTTATTCGCATAATATAAGAGATCAACAGGTGTACGCATGTACACTAATACAGGAAAGAGAAAAAGACTACATCCTGCGTTTACGTATGTGTTACGTAACGCATACGACGATGCGTATACGCGCACACGTGCGCGAAGCGCGACTACATTCACGAGTTAATATAACGTTAAATACCACCGAGTAATACTCATTGCGCGCAATGGAAAGTAATAGAAAAAGTAATAGCGATATATTATTTTGTTTCATCACGCTTCACGTTAAAAATTGATAATACATTCATATTTATGTGTATGAACCATATCTAAGAGTATAAAGTGTCAAAGAACGTTTCACGTAAAATACAAAAAAATTCTTAAAAAAAAATGTTTTAATACTGAAGTATTATCCGTATTTACTTTTCGGCGTCGTATGAGTGGAATTTGTTATTACAATTCGACATTGACATATAAACGTATTTGCGGCGCGCGCTATCGCTGTGCAAATATGTGAACGATAAAGAGAAATCGCAGATAAGCCACAAGAGAAAGAAAGACGTATTCTAATCTGGCAATATATCGTAATAACATAAGTAATACAACTGGTTGAGACGGTAGACGACGTGACGGTAGACAACGTGCGCATGTACGCGCGTGTTCACGGGTCACGCATTCTAACACGCGTTACCGGTCGTGAACAATACGCGAGTAGGTACATCCCACGCCACGAGCGTGTGGGACACACGAGGATGGGTGGCTACGTCCCACGCCGAACGAATGGGACACGTACCGACGAATGTACAGAGGCTCCGTCACGTCGCGGAAAGTAGGGATGCCGCCGCGGTGTTCTCCAGGCATAAAAGATCCATGGTTGGTGTATGTCAGTGTCAGTGACGAGAGAGAGGAACGGAGAGGAACGGTGGAGAACCGTGTGGTCACCTAGACCAGCAGCGGCGAGTAACCGCCGATGCCACATCGACTCGCGATATCGGACTGAGAACATCGGTTCACATCTCTCACAATCACAAATTTTCTAAGCCGGCATTAATTCCGAGTGATCGTACGGAAGAGAAAGACAGAGTTTTGGAATTTATGTGCGAGCGAGAAGAAGCACGCGCGAAGCTCGTGCATATATCTGACGCGAGCGAGAAAGTTCCGAGGATCATACAGAAGAAACGAGTTTGTAAACGAGGCCGGTCGCAGCCGAGCTTCAGTTCGTCTGGGTGACTCGAGGAGTGGCGCGAGCGCGTGCGAGCGAGCGATATAATGTATAATGTAGTTAAAATCGTGTGCCGATGATAAATGGTTGTGCGCCAGCGTTAACAGAGAACTTTTTTATATTTAAAATTTTTAATCAGGGGCAAAGTTTCAGTGATTGACAAATTAACATATTCGGCCAGTGAGTGTGCGTTTTAAAAACATTCTCGGCTTTTATCGTATTTACAATAATCACACACGAGTCTCTCGCGTTTGTGTAAAGTTACTATCGAGTAATCGAGCTGTAGAAGCAACCGAAAACACGTAGCGATGACTATTCACAAAAAAGGCACGGTGTCAAGAATGAAGAATGCGGGAACCGCGAAAAACGAAATGGCGACGACATCGACGTCCTCGGATGTGACGACAACGGAGACAGTCGAGGTTGTATCCTCCACCAGCGTCGTGGAGGAATCGAATCAGGTGAAGGAGAGCGAATCTAGAAGTAGCATGGTAGAGGTCACGAGTGCCAGTCGCGAGGTCATCATGGATTCCAAAGGTAACATTATCAAAGTTATCGAGACACCTCCACAGACTATCCAGCAAAGCTCGTCCAGCCGAAAAACCGGAAAAAGCTCTCAAGACTTCATAGCAGGGGAGCAGATGCAATCGATTAAGCAAGCGAAGACGACGCATGAGATTCCACGCGAGCACGCAACGTCTCTTTCGGAAAGTCGGACAATTCAAGGAGAAACGACTGAACAAGCCAGTCAATCTGTGCAGACGCAAAGTCAAAGCGCATCCCATTCAATGGTTACGCAGTCGAGCTCCTCGAGTGTCTTAATTGAGAGCTCATCAGCGAGCGAGGATCATAGCGGACGTCGCTCTACTGTTGTAGTTTCTCATGACATTAAAAATGGAGCTCACGTTCCCATATCTCAGACATCGTCAAGGTCGACCGAGAGTACTCACGTGAGTAGTGAGACGAGCGAAGCCGTAACGAAAGACGGTCAAACAACGTCGAGCACCACGAGAATACGCGAAACGGGAGAAAGAATCAATGACAACGGTAAGACGATGTCTACATCGAGCCGGGAAATAGACAGCGAGCATACAATCACACCCTCCAATGTGACTGTTATTAAAAGTACCGATGATATCAAGAGGAGTGGTGATAAAAGTACGCGCAGCGATTTGAAATCAGAGAGATCAAACATCGAGATATCAACACGTTGTAATAAGCCCGGTCAATCTACATGGGATGGTACCTTTGTTTATGAAAAACCCACCACTCCTAAGGACAAAAATGTCATTGATAAAACAGTAAGTTCGAAGATTCATAGCGATACCAGAGATAATGAAACAAGCGTTAAAGTCACTCAAGAGACTTCGACCCAGGAGGGCTCGTTTATTGATCAGAATGTATCTTCAAGTTCAAGCATGACTCGAGACTCGAAAACGATAGTCGATGAAGGTCAACGAATGATGACTTGTCTTCGTGATATTACGTCGGAAAAAATTGCTGCAGATACAACAGATTTCGTGAGCGAAAAATATTCGAAAGGACCGACCCGTTATTCAAAACCTGGCGATTCGACGTGGGACGGAAGCTTCGTCGTGGAAAAAATTACGACGCAGCCAAAAAGTAAGCGTAACGACTCCGACGTCAACGTGTTTCACGGTCGCGGCGACAACGTCATGGAAACTACGCAGAGAAGAGATTTCAAAGAAAAGAGTACGGACGGTACATATGAGAAGGAGTCATCCGAGACTATGCGCGTCGTAAAAGGTGCTACGGACAGCACCAGATTCATTTCTGAAGAACGACGAGATGTAAGCAGAGAAACTTCGATCCATGTCGATGGTACGCCATTGAGTAAGGATGAACATCCTGCTCGCGTATCCAGTCCATCGCAACGAAGACTCGGCAGACCCGGCGAATTTATCTATGAAAAGTCGCAAGATCATGTAAAGAAGCATCCTTCAGACGTCACCGTTGTCCGTACAACGGAAAAACGTCATGATACCGTGGATGTTCAAGATGTCAGCGAAGAACAGAACGTTACTGAATCGGTCTCCACGTCTTACATCGTTGAATACGCGATTTCCGGCGACAAGAAGAATGTCGAGAAGGTCACGTCGGTGTCCGATGTAATCTTAGAGGAAGATAGTCTTGAGAATAAAATTACGCGCGGCCATGGAAGTCCGGAGAGACAGGCAAAATTTGATACAACTTCGCGCTGTTACAAGCCTGGTCAATCTGCTTGGGATGGCACCTTCGTCTACGAACGACCGGTAACACCTGATAGTCGCCGAAGACCGGAAGATAAACGTACAGTAAAAACCATCGATATTCGAGATGTTACGGAAGATAATTCGATTAACGAAGCGGACGTTACGAGTACTTCTTACATCGTTGAACATTCATCAAGTCAGCAGAGTTTCTCAGACATCAGGGATGCCAGTGTCAGGTCCACGAGATATGAGACAGTCGTTTACGAGGGCCGCCCTGTCGAAACGACGATTAGATTTGATGGAGATACATCACGAAGCAAAGTTTCGACGACGGAACGTCGGACTAGCCCCTCACCGCGACCTACAAGTCCGGAGAAGATACCGAAAGATAGAGATCTACGAAGTACCAAACCTGGATCATCAACGTGGGACGGAACTTTCGTATTGGAAAAATCACAAGATAAGAAGCGACCACTTAGCAGAGAATCCATTGATATGCTACCAGATAAATCTCGTCCGGCAGGTAGCAAAAAGACACCTTATGTTGATACATCGAAGAAATATGTTAGCGAGACTACTATCGATCTCCGAGATGTCAAGCAAGATGTATCAAGCACTTCAGAGATTATGGAAAGTTCCGTCGTTATGGAACAATCAAGAATGCACGAAAGTTATACGGATTCCTCGAATCTTGATTTCTCGACGACTTCCGTCGAAACTGTTACTATTCGCGACGGTCAGCCAATAACGACGCAAAAAACAGTAACCATTCAAGAAAGCCCTCACAGTGGTGCGAAGAGACTGCCTAGTAGTGACGTAATAACTACTACCGACATTAAAGAGACCACTGTTAAAAGCGAGAAGAAGGAATCTCGCGCGGACGATAGAAGTTACCGACCTCTAAAACCAGGATCGTCCACATGGGACGGATCGTTCGTGTATGAGAAACCAGAGGAAAGAAAACCAAGCGATAAAAAGTTACCGAAAGATGTACATGAAGCTGTGAAGAGTCCAATCAAAGAACAACGGACCGACAATGTTGATCATCGAACAGTTACAATTTTGGATACATCAAAAGATGTAAAAAGTGCTACCGATTATTCTACGAGTTCTGTCACGGTCGAACAAACATTCATTACGGATTCGGAGACATACGATTCTTCAAATATATCCAAATTTTTTATCAAAGAAAGCGCAGAAGAGAAAGTACGTGAAACCGACAAGAAGCCAAGACAGCTGTTCGACGAAAAACCTGAGCCATCGCCTCGACAACGTCCGAAAGACACTAAAGAGCCTAAATATAAAAAACCGCAGAGTCCGGTGGATAGAACACATCGACCGTCGAAGCCAGGCGCCTCCACTTGGGATGGATCGTTCGTGTATGAGAAACCGGAAGAGAAGAGACCAGGAGATCGAAAAGTACCAAAAGATATTAAAACTGAAGATAAGCGAAGCCCAATTAAAGAAAAACCGAGTGACATCGCTGATCATAGAACATCTGTTACAATACTAAATACATCGAAGGATGTATCAAGTACTGCCGATTATTCCACAAGCTCCGTCACGGTCGAACAAACGTACGATTCAAAGACATATGACTCGTCAAATATATCCAAAATTTATATAGAAGAGAGTCCGAAGGATAAAGTACATCCGATCGATTACGAGACATCAAAACAACCCTCCGACGAAAAGCCGCAGAAAAGTCCGGTAGACAGAACGCATCGACCATCGAAGCCTGGTGCCTCCACTTGGGACGGTTCTTTCGTGCACGAAAAACCGCAAGATACGCAAAAGAAACCAACACGTGATGAACCAACTGAAGTACCGAAGAAATCGGCAGACGAACGAAAACCGATTGAGAAAGAAAGCAAACCAGTGGATCAGAGAGGAAAAACGTTGCTTACTCCGATTTCGCGAAAATCAACGGAGACACAGAAGGACGTCACTGAAATCAGACATGTCGAAGATGTCGCGGATATCACACATGCGGATATCACGCGTACATCCGAAGTGCTTCAGCAATCTTATGTAATCGATCAGTCTTCGAGATTTACTTCTGTGCAAGACGAGCGCAATGTTAGGGACGAGCGTGTCATCACTGAATTTACGACGGACACATACAAGGATGTGGTGAGTAATTGCAAGACGTTAAAATGTTTCTTTATTAGCTGTCCACAGGAAATTGCTAAAACTACGATTCATTTAGTTTTCCGGAATAATACTTATATCATACCTCTGTTTCAACATTTATTTCTATAAGAATTGAAGTCAAATACTGAAAACTTTGAACCTTCTATTTTCGATGTACTTGAGTTCTCAATACATTAACTTCTCGATAGTTGATAATGACCATATGTTAGTAGGCAGATTTATAAAAATCTTATCGAGACACTTTGAGCTCAGTTCTTTCGGAAGAGGTTCGAACGATACTTTCACTTCCAAACCGAGCGAAGGTTGTAGGTTTATGTGTGGCACCGCGTTGAAAATAAACCTGACGTAATATAGCAATTCGTAGAAAGACGAGAAGGGTTAAGAGCAGAAGAAAAAAGAGAATTCGTTTTGTTGAATCCTCTGTTTGAAACAGACAGAATGTATATATATCGCATTCTTAATATATATGAATTTCTGGACGACTGAGTCCCGATTCATCGAACTATTGCAAAGTGAATCAAGCGGAAATCGATATTTCATACATGAGAAACGATTCTGCCCGACATACAGTACCTCGTTACAGTACAATCGTTGTATTATAATCGCTTTAAATCGTCAATATGCTATTGCAGTACAGAAATACATGATATATCTTAATATTTTTAATATATTATCATCATTGACATAAAAACAATTCGATAACCTCTGTTTTCGATTAAAAAGTGAACTTTGACATGTAAATACGCAAGTTATCTTTGAGAGAGAGATAAATGCATGTATATTAAGACAATCATGGCATAGTTCAAATTAAAATAAAGATGAATCTTTTTTTCTATTTTATCCAAACTTAAAATCACTTCAAATAACATTATTATAGAAAAATGTAAATTTAATTATTGTTATATTATTTATATTATATTTATATTATTTATAACAAAAGTCTCAACAGGAAAATTAATTATTATAATTATTTGCATTTCCATGAAAAAATCCTTGAAATTGCATCCTTGGACATGTAAGTGTAATCACTTGCAATTAAGCTAAATCGAGCATATGCGGAATGATAATAATTACAATATGAGCAAATTTGGCAGTGATGTCACCGCTCAATGTAACTCGCTTAATGTATGACCAATTGAATTTCACGCGCGTTCCGCTTCGCTTATCATGCGGTCGCCTCGTTCAAGTGCTATAGAAATCTTAGTTAAGAGATGCCACGCTAAGAGACACGTGTACATTGACGTCACTCATCGCTGGTTACAGTATCGATAGCAACGACCGATAACATTAAATAAAATAATAATAGTACAACAGAGAGAGTAACATACAGGTATATCGTTTTACAATAATACCTTGTGTATCCACTGTATATTGCAATATGCTATAGAACTCAATATTGATTTAATCAGTAAAAACAAAATCGCACATGGTATCAACGAGTTTTACACTGCGACCGAGTCACTTTGTGGCTGAAAAGTTACACGTTTTCATAGAAATATGGGTCGATATCAAACAGAAAGATAAATGCCACAGATGATACTTTGGATTTTACTGCTACAGCGATAAAACGGTAGTATTTTTGAAAATTTGAAATTTGAAATTTTAATTCGGAATTAATTTTTAATAGAAATAACACTTTATTTTTATTCAAATATATCCAATTTTTTTCTAATTTTTAAAATTGTCTTTTTTAATTTTTCTGGGTTTAGTTTTTTTTCTTATGATTACATTAATTTAAATTTTGTTCCATATCTGATAAAATCTTATTTTGCTTATTGAAAATTCAGCGAGCATACTTTTCTGTTAACAGCAGTGAATTTCCTAACTGAAGATGCTCGGGACAATTCGAAACTTTATCTCCGCGTAGCATCTCACAAATCGGATCGGTACTTCGAAGTTTACGTTATCTAACAATGTAGTTTGAATATTCAATACTTTGCTCACAAGGATAATTCACAAGGACTACGTTGGTAATTTGCAATATATTCTCACGTTTACAAGTTTATACCGGTTGAACGAATTAAAAATAGATATTCGTAACTTATTTCGCAACATACGGACAGTCCGTTTCTTTAAAGCAGCTCGATTTAATTCTCACAGCCGTGACTTTACTCCGAGGTCTCGAGATGATCGATAAAATGCTTTAGTAAGTTCGCGTTTGCACACGTGCTTTTCGCGTTACTTCATCTATCACTCTGTAAATGAATATCCAACAAATATATCTTCGCTTCATCTTAGATAAAAAAAATTCTCTGTGGAATCTATTTGTATGTTACGACTGTAATTTACGTCCCTAAACAATTCATAAACAATTCATCTTGATGCTATATTACAGACACCCTCATTGTTTTCGATTGTTCAACGTACAAACAACTATATATAGAGATAGCCTATTTGGATCGAGATATAATACGTACGACGTACATGCGTGATCGCGTTTTCCCGGCGCGATTCGGTATTATTATTTTATGAAGGCACATGCAATTTATATCTCGTCATATCGCATATTACGGCATCGATAAATGTGATATTTTATTAACGGCACTTAATCACGTTCATCAAAATTCTTTTAACGCGGAAATTTTATTAAACTTGTAGTTACCACGAAACAGCAACACAGAGGGGATCGTTTTTAACATGAAATTTCTAAACAGACAAAATTATACTCATCTGGAAAACAAGTAAAGTCTAAATTATGTAAACGAGCTTCATTATGAGCAACTCTCGATATCGTCGGAGGAGGGGCAATCAGCTTAAGACTCAAGCTACTTAACCCGCTAATTAAATGTCAAAACTTTATCTGATGTGCTTTATGCGAATTACATTCGAACGTTAAAAACAGTAAAGGATTTGACTAATAATATCAGCAGACGTTATTTGCTTCGTTGTAGAGTCAAATTAAAAAACAAGCGTGCCTATGAATATAATGAGCAGTTACAACAAATTGAAAAAAAAATAGACATTTTTAATGTAACGTGGAATTTCAATACAAGTACAAGTAAAATATCAAAATTCCCCAACTGAAATAATATTTTTCGTAGTAAATTTATCATGGATTTATATTAGGTGTTGGAATTAATTCGTAGCGTTTTACAAGAGATGGGAAGTACTTTCATTAATGTATTTTTTAATGCTCATGTGAAATAAATAACATTCTTTCATTAAAAAACGCTACGAATTAATTCCAACACCTAATAAGATACTTATTAATATTAGTTTCATTAAATTAGTATTACTTTAATAGTGATATTATGTTTCCCACAGTTATGGCATAAAACTGCACTTTAAAAAGTATAAATAGTAATCTGCACTTTTATGTTCAAAAATATAAAGATGAAATATAAAATTTACAAAAATTATTATTAGATGTAAAATTCCTCTTAATAACTAGAAATGTTAATCTTTATCTGTATTTTGTATATATATGTCGATCAATGCTATTAAAAGATTACAATTGTTTATGAAATTCGAGAATTTTGAAAAAAAATATTTTGATATATCCTACACACATTTTAATAAAAATACAAAATTTGAAAATCTTTTAAAATACACTTATAAAATAAAATTCTTTCTACAGATCATTTACATTATCGATAGTGCAAACACAATTTATTTCTGCAAATGCCAGCAATATGGTTAAAGAAACAAACTAAATCGCAAAAGTACGGTTCGACGGTTCGACACGTTACACGATACTATGTAAGCGTGCACATAAAAGCCGTATACACCAATCTCGTGTTACCTGTATTCTGTCGAACTAAGCATTACCGGCGTTCCTAATCTCGTTCATGCTCGCGGCGCTCATTATGCAGCACGTTTGAAGCTCGTAATGAACGCTCGCGGAAAAACGAAGCCGCATTTACGTCGTTATTGCGCCTCGAAGTCTTTGTCAATGTGTGTATCAAGGCGTTTACTGTGTATAATTAGCATACCAATTGAATATCATAAATCATTGTTTTTTTAAATAATTGTTATGACATTGACTTTAAGTAAATTGACAAGTAATGTTACTATGCAATCGTCATTTGTTACGAGCAAAATACTTCTAAAGTTTGCGAGTGATGGTAGTCATAACTGGTCGTTTATGTTAGACATTTCCTAACAGTTTATATGCCATATCAATGCAAGTATTTTATTATAGTAATCAATGTGTTATCTATACAGCACTAATGTTGCAGCTGTAAAATTCTACGTAATATCATTTATAAAAACGTGATAATACTCGACATTACGGTATATGTAATAATTAACAGTATAGTTTACACTGTGCGTGAAAACGTGAGCAACCATTAACGAAATGATAATTGAAAGCATTGACCGTATTAATTATTACCAATTATTCTGTTTTATGTCTACTAATATTACTGTTATTTAGCAAAATCTGAGAAATACTTAAAGAATATTTTTGTTGTATTTTTTAGAGAGATGTTACCGAGTCAACGAAGGAATTTATCGATAAAGAGCAGGTGACTAGCATGGTAGCGCGGGATGTCATTGACTCCCGATTCGATACCATCACCGGCCCAGCACCCCGGTCACCAACGGATTCCACGAGGAAACCATCGCCTGAACGGCCCGGTTATCCTCGTGGAATACCTGGTCTCAGGGAAGACGATCGACCAAAACCAACTCCAATTGCTGGAAAGCCCAGCCGACCTCCGCAGCGAGAAAGAAGTCCTCAGCGGCCAGTGGATGGCAGGTAAATGAAAAATAAATTGTTTCTCCTTTTATCTTTAAACTAATCTAATTCTTTTAAATATGTCTAAACTGTAAGAAAAAATAAAAGGTGACAATTTATGACTTGTCGATATTGATTTCATAGACCTTCCGAAATCCGACCAAAGTCACCTGAAAAGCTTCGGGATCATACGTCGCCGACTAGAAGACCACAGCCAGCGGCTGGCAAGCCGAGTCGACCCGAAGAAAAACCTGTAGCACTTAGAAAATCTGATAAAGAACCTGAATCTCCGAAACCTAAACCTAGTCGATTTGCTGAGTTAGAACCGAAGAAATTGGAACAGGACATACCTAAAAGAGGAGATCAAAGTCCAGACTCTCTCGAAGAGGATGTAGTCTATCCTAAATCAGTGCTGGTACCGGATATATTGTCGAAAATCCCTTTAAAAGAACAATGCATTTGCGAGCTTTGTACTTGCGGGTAAGTGTTCCTTGTAATAAAATACTTATATCTCTCTTCATATATAAATATATAAAAATGTAAAAATAAAAAATCTGGCGCGAGTGTAGAATTTAATTTAAATTATGCAAAGCATTAAGCCAAAATTAAGATTCTACCACAATGTTTAATTACTTTCTACATACATACAAATTTTAATATTAAAATATTAATAAACATTTTACAAGGAGTATAATTAACAAGCATAGAACTAGTGCGAATACGATTTAATTTAACTTATCTACACGTTCGCTGTAGAGAGGAACACGGTTGACCTACTTCTAAACATTATTAACAAGATCAGAATACAAAACTTGCCAGAGTCGAGATGCAAATTGACGAGAGGAACAGGAGATTGTCTTCAAGGCCATATTTCCTACTCTATTAAATTCATTGCAGCAATCCATTCAGAGCCGAGCTGAGTTTATTATGTACGAATGTATTTACTTTTGATTTGACATTATTTTAGTATCTGTATTGATTATTACATACCTCTTATATAGAATCATATTTTCGTTATCAAAAGTTTTCATCGTTCTTATTAGATGATTTTTAATTATTAAGAATCCTTGTTTAATTAATTCAATTCTTGCTATATAAAAAAAAATCAGTAACATATTTATTGATCTTAACATAGCAGTAGTACCATACAAGTCAATTTTTTTATTTAGAAAACACTATATACGTATGCATAATGTGCAAAAGTAGGACACGAGACAGATCCTTTTACGGCAAGTTGTTCTGAGCGAGGGCAAGTCATCGCACGATTCCTTCTTTATTCGAACTTTCCAACCTACGTAGCTCTGTACGACGGTGACGAATCATACAAATTTATCTTACAGCTTTCATAATTGTGTTAGACATATCATCATTTTTTAAAAGTATTTATTATATCTTTAAAAAAAATGGCTAATTATGGAGATTAATGTGTATAGTATTTAAGTTCTTTAAATCTTTTTTAAACTTTAAAAAAATTTTTTATTTTAGCTAATAATTTGTGATTTTTAATGACAATAGAAAAAGATAATAGTTTTAGAAAAATTTATATGTAATTTTATATATGTGTGTATATATATATATATACACACATATATATATATATATATATATACCTACATAAAGTCTTGTCAGATTGAAAATCTTGACCTAAATAGACTCGTAGTGCAGATAGATTTGCGAGCGAGAGGTATAAGTTCGTAGAAAATTAGTCGCATCGTGGCCGTCTCAAGAAGTAATTGCGGTTCGTCTACTCGTAGGCGATTAGTCGTTGGAAATTTCTACGTAAGTCTGCTTAACTTTGAGATCTGTTAAAACTTCTCTCTTCTGGTTTAACGCGACTCTAAAGGGATGTTCATAATGTGTCATATAACATGGTTTTATCCAATAAAAAATACATACTACTCAACTTTGACCAAGTCTGGCTTTTACGGAATTGGATTTTCGTAATACCCAACGGTATAGAAGAAAAGCGAAAAAGAATTATGAGAACGAATTTTGACGTTGCTCGATGTAGTTACAGAGAAGTAGGATCTCTCATATGAAAATGCTAGTGTCCAAATAAGCTGAGTTGCTTTGAATAAAAAATATTGGCAATAATACTACATTTCTTTTTTCCATACCATTTATGGTAACTAACCAGTATTGCATTAAAAACATTCACCAGCGGGATGTAATTCATACCTTTCACAGAAAGGTGAAAGCTTTTCATTAATTAATACGATCGATAGAAACGTCATTCGTCATTTGATAAAATCTTAAGTATATATTCTGAATTATATTCAGTTATAAATGAAGGTATCTAAAACTTCCAATTGGATTGTAAAGAACTTAATTAATTTTTGTAATCAAGAATATTTAATTAATTGAATATGTATGTACCAATAACAATTCGATTTACGTGAGAACGCATCTCGTTAAAATATGTTGTTATCTGACTAATAAAAGCTTTTCCTACTGTATTATGTACATGGAATATACTTGAATTATAATAAATATTAAATTAATTCTTGCTAAATAAAATATACGAATTATTCAGCTTATTATAATTCTTACGACATTTATAAAATATTTGTTTTTAATTAGTAATGTAATATTAAAGACACAATACCTTAAAATGCCGTGTATCGAATGAATAGATTACAGTACAATCACAATTTTGTCTTTATATCCATTATGTCCGCGTATGATAATGACTGCAAATACTCCGAGAATAACAAGACATTCAAAACGACGCAAAACCTTTATACTCATTAAGAACATAAAAGGATTGATACCCTTCTGCGTCATATTTAAATCTCTATATGCATCAAGCCTTTGTTAAGCATCAGCGTTATTTGAACGAATACAAAAGCGGATAATAAGAATTTTCTGCGAACGCTTTTCTTCCCTTTTATTAATATTAAACAGGGATATACCATGAATGTTATAAGAATGGATGCAGTATCGTTTACTTTATCATACTGCTTTCAAATATGAACGCAAATGTTTAAAAATAGATACTTTTCTTTAAATACTTTAAATACTTTACTTCTCATGCGACCTGAAAAAAACATTGTAATGTCATAAGCGTTATATCTGTTTCTAAATTCTAATAAATGATATTAATAAATAAATGATAAATATTTTAGACGTCATCGTTGCCTGCATAATTTGCCCCAAGAACATTTGGAATTCTCTTATGAAGAACCATTGCATACTGTGACTTCCTATCGCCAGGATTACGACGAAAAACATGTAGAAAAGCAAACAAAATATTATCATAAAGATCATTTGCATACGGAGGGTGAATTTATCGGAGAGAGACGAACCGATTATGTGGCTACTAGAGGCGAGAGAGCGCCGGTCAGAAAACCGCAAGATCATCTCAAACCTGAAGGTGAATTCGTTAGAAGACCAAAGGAAGAGGCGCCTATTAGGGGTGAAAGGGCACCTGTGAAGAAGCCACAAGACAATCTTAAACCGGAGGGCGAGTTTGTTGGTAAGCCTCGAGAGGAAGCTCCGAAATATGGCGAGCGAGCTCCGATTACGAAGCCAAGGGATAACTTGAAATTCGAAGGGGATTTTGACAGTAAGTTTAAATACTTGCTTAATTCCGTTCGTGAACTTATTAATAAACTTTTTTATTATTAATTTGGTCCCAACAGATATTCAAATGAATTCTTATATATACAAAAATATACTTTTCGTAAAATTGTACGCTCGATATAAAAAATAAATAAATTTTTCTTATTTTCTAGCTACAACAACGACCGAGCTGGTTTTTACTGGCACTCCTGGCGAACGACCGATCCCAATACGTCGCAATACTTATACAAAGATAGAGGGTGATTTCATTGACGAAACGACGTCGCGATCGCAATACATTGATCATCGTAGCATCCAACGCGCTGAAATCGTTAAACGAACAGATAATCTCACCGTAGGAGAGGGTGAATTCACGGTTAGTAATTTTAATGATGAAAATTTTCCAATTTTAATTAGATCGTTTATAAGACTGTACATATGACTTCATTATTTTTCAAAATTATCTTACAGGGTACCTCTCATATCAAGGAAGATTTTCAAACTCATGTTATTGAACGTGAACCTCAGTGGCGACCGAAGTATCCCGAAGACATCGATCGATTTTACAACAAAACAGATATCGTTGACAGTACTACTACCACTCAGGAACAATTTCGAACTTTTGATCAGGCAGATTATAAAAGTACCACAGTTATTAAAAGAGCTGATAATCTAAGACCCGAAGGGCCTTTCGAAGCATTGCCTCATACAAAGGATGATTACGTTACACCAATATTGCTACGCAAGCCAGAACCACAAAAACCTATAGATAATTTAAAATCTGAAGGGCCATTTGAAGGACGGCCTAAAGATGATTATTCACCTAAACGCGGCGAACGTTATGAAGTGAAACGGCCAGAAGATAACTTACGTCCTGAAGGGCCGTTCGAAGGACGACCTAAAGATGACTATAAGCCTACTAGAGGAGAACGCGCCGATGTAAAGCGCCCTGAAGATAACTTACGTCCTGAAGGGTCATTTGAAGGACGGCCTAAAGATGATTATTCACCTAAACATAGCGAACGCCCTGAAGTCAAGCGTCCAGAAGATAACTTACGTCCTGAAGGGCCGTTCGAAGGACGACCTAAAGATGACTATAAGCCTACTAGAGGAGAACGCGCCGATGTAAAGCGCCCTGAAGATAACTTACGTCCTGAAGGGCCATTTGAAGGACGACCTAAAGATGATTATGCACCTAAACGTAGCGAACGCCCTGAAATCAAGCGTCCAGAAGATAATTTACGTCCTGAAGGACCATTTGAAGGACGGCCTAAGGATGATTATAGGCCAACTAAAGGAGAGAGAGCTGATGTTAAAAGACCACAAGATAATTTGAAACCAGAGGGTCCGTTCCAAGGACGTCCAAAAGATGATTTTACTCCGAAGACAGCGGAACGTCCTGAAGTGAAACGACCAAAAGACAATTTACGACCTGAAGGTGACTTTTCAGATCGTCCCAAAGACCAATATATACCTGGTGAGAAACGCACTCCCATCAGACATCTGGATAATTTGTATCCTGAAGGCGACTTCGAAAGACCTAAGCCGATACCTTATGGTCCCGGTGACAGAGCATCTATTGTTCGTCATCCGGATAATCTATTTCCAATAGGAGAATTTCCAGACAGAGAAATCAAACCATTCAAATCTGCCGAACGTAGAACGCCTGTTAAACATGTCGATAATCTTCGTCCAGAAGGTGACTTTGAAGGAAAACCCAAAGATGATTACAGACCGACCAAAGGAGAACGTGCCGATGTTAAACGCCCCGAAGATAATTTGCGACCAGAAGGTCCGTTCGAGGGTCGTCCAAAAGATGATTATTCGCCCAAACGTGCAGAACGTCCTGAAGTAAAACGTCCGGAAGATAATCTACGTCCCGAAGGCGATTTTGAAAGACCAGAGAAAGAACCTATTGGTCCAGCCGAAAGACGCACTCCAATTAAACATCCGGATAATCTTAGATTTGAAGGAGAATTCGAGCGACCTCATCAGGATGGTTACCGTCCGGCAGAAAAACCAGAAGTCAAAAAGCCAATGGACAATTTAAGGCCCGAAGGTGAATTTGAAAGACCACGTCCTGAAAAATACTCTCCAGCTGAGAAACGAACACCAGTGAAACATTCAGATAATCTCAAGCCAGAAGGTGAATTTGAGCGACCTCGTCAGGATGATTATCGTCCAGCAGAAAAACCAGAAGTCAAAAAGCCAGTGGACAATTTAAGACCCGAAGGTGAATTTGAAAGACCACGTCCTGAAAAATACTCTCCAGCTGAGAAACGAACACCAGTGAAACATTCAGATAATCTCAAGCCAGAAGGTGAATTTGAGCGACCTCGTCAGGATGATTATCGTCCAGCAGAAAAACCAGAAGTCAAAAAGCCAGGGGACAATTTAAGACCCGAAGGTGAATTTGAAAGACCACGTCCTGAAAAATACTCTCCAGCTGAGAAACGAACACCAGTGAAACATTCAGATAATCTCAAGCCAGAAGGTGAATTTGAGCGACCTCATCAGGATGGTTACCGTCCGGCAGAAAAACCAGAAGTCAAAAAGCCAATGGACAATTTAAGGCCCGAAGGTGAATTTGAAAGACCACGTCCTGAAAAATACTCTCCAGCTGAGAAACGAACACCAGTGAAACATTCAGATAATCTCAAGCCAGAAGGTGAATTTGAGCGACCTCATCAGGATGGTTACCGTCCGGCAGAAAAACCAGAAGTCAAAAAGCCAATGGACAATTTAAGGCCCGAAGGTGAATTTGAAAGACCACGCCCTGAAAAATACTCTCCAGCTGAGAAACGAACACCAGTGAAACATTCAGATAATCTCAAGCCAGAAGGTGAATTTGAGCGACCTCATCAGGATGGTTACCGTCCGGCAGAAAAACCAGAAGTCAAAAAGCCAATGGACAATTTAAGGCCCGAAGGTGAATTTGAAAGACCACGCCCTGAAAAATACTCTCCAGCTGAGAAACGAACACCAGTGAAACATCCGGACAATCTCAAACCAGAAGGTGAATTTATTGGTAAACCGAAAGAAGATTTTATACCAACAAGAGGTGATCGCGCTGATGTTAAAAGACCAGCGGATAATTTAAGACCGGAAGGTCTATTCGAAGGTCGACCAAAAGATGATTATCGACCAGTGCGTGGAGAACGTATGGATGTTGTTAAACGCATGGACAATTTGCGTATGGAAGGAGATATAGAAACATATAGATCCAGAGACGAATATACTGATTTCTTAATACGCGAAAGAACTGAAATTACTAAATATCAAGATAATTTACGTATGGAAGGTGAATTCATTGATACAAGAACGCGAGATGATTTTAAAATTATTAAAGGTGAACGCATGGATGTCGTTAAACATCGTGATAATTTAAAACCGGAAGGTCCGTTCGAAGGTCGCCCGAAGGATGATTATTCACCCAAGAAAGCAGAGAGACCTGAAATTAAAAAGCCGGAAGATAATTTAAAACCAGAAGGCGATTTCGTACGTCAGCCTAAAGAAGAAGCGCCTAAAAAAGGTGAAAGAGCTGATGTGAAAAAACCAAGAGACAATTTGAGGCCGGAAGGTGAGTTCGAAAGACCGGAAAAGAAACCAATCAGTCCAGCAGAGAAGCGTACCCCGATTAAACATTCTGATAATCTAAAACCAGAGGGTGAGTTCGAGAGACCAATACCTGAAGAATTCAAACCTGCCGAAAGACCAATTGTAAAGAAACCACATGACAATTTAAAACCGGAAGGCGAATTTGTGTCAAGACCAAAAGATGAGGCGCCAAAGAAAGGTGAGAGAGCTGATATTAAAAAGCCACAAGACAATTTGCGACCGGAGGGCGATTTCGAAAGACCGGAGAAAAAACCAATTGGTCCTGCAGAGCGACGTTCTCCGATTAAACATTCTGATAATCTGAAGCCAGAAGGTGAATTCGAAAGACCTAAGCCCGAAGAATTTAGACCTGCTGAAAGACCGGTAGTAAAGAAACCACACGATAATTTAAAACCGGAAGGCGAATTCGTCTTTCAACCAAAAGAAGAAGTGCCAAAAAAAGGTGACAGGGCTGATGTTAAAAAGCCAAAGGATAATCTCAAACCCGAGGGCGATTTTGAAAGACCGGAAAAGGCACCTATTGGTCCAGCGGAACGACGTACTCCGATTAAACATTCAGATAATTTGAAGCCAGAAGGTGAGTTTGAACGACCGGAACAAGAAGGTTATCGTCCAACAGAAAGGCCAGAAGTCAAAAAACCAACAGATAATCTGAAACCCGAAGGCGATTTTGAAAGACCACATCCTGAAAAATATGTTCCGGCTGAGAAACGTACGCCAGTGAAACATCCAGATAATCTTAAGCCGGAGGGTGAATTTATTGGTAGACCTAAAGAAGACTTTACGCCCACTAAAGGTGATCGTGCCGAAGTTAAAAAACCAGAGGATAATCTGAAACCAGAGGGTCTATTCGAAGGTCGACCGAAGGATGATCATCGACCGATGCGTGGCGAACGCATGGATGTAGTGAAGCGCACGGATAATTTGCGAATGGAAGGAGATATAGAAACTTATAGATCCAGAGACGAATATACTGATTTCTTAATACGCGAAAGAACTGAAATTACTAAATATCAAGATAATTTACGTATGGAAGGAGAATTTATCGATATGAGAACACGGGATGACTTCAAAGTCGTTAAAGGCGAACGCATGGATGTCGTTAAGCATCGTGACAATTTAAAACCGGAAGGTCCATTTGCAGGTCGTCCGAAGGACGATTATTCGCCTAAGAAAGCAGAAAGACCTGAAATTAAAAAACCAGAAGATAATTTAAAACCAGAAGGTGATTTCGTACGTCGGCCTAAGGAAGAAGCGCCTAAAAAGGGTGAGAGAGCTGACGTGAGAAAACCGAAAGATAATTTGCGACCGGAGGGAGACTTCGAAAGACCGGAAAAGAAACCGATTGGCCCTGCTGAGCGACGTTCTCCGATTAAACATTCTGACAATCTAAAACCAGAGGGTGAATTTGAAAGACCTAAGCCTGAAGAATTCAAACCTGCTGAAAGACCGGTTGTAAAGAAACCACATGATAATTTAAAACCTGAAGGCAAATTCGTATCTAGACCAAAAGAAGAAGCACCGAAGAAAGGTGAGAGAGTTGATGTCAGAAAACCACAAGATAATTTGCAACCGGAAGGAGATTTTGAAAGACCGGAAAAGAAACCGATTGGCCCTGCTGAGCGACGTTCTCCGATAAAACATTCTGACAATCTAAAACCAGAGGGTGAATTCGAAAGACCTAAGCCTGAAAAATTCAAGCCTGCTGAAAGACCAATTGTAAAGAAGCCACATGATAATTTGAAACCTGAAGGCGAGTTCGTATCTAGGCCGAAAGAAGACGCGCCGAAGAAAGGTGACAGAGTCGATGTTAGAAAGCCGCAAGATAATTTACGACCGGAGGGTGACTTTGAAAGACCGGAGAAAAAACCAATTGGTCCAACGGAAAGAAGAACTCCGATCAAACATGCAGATAATTTGAAGCCAGAAGGTGAATTTGAGAAACGTCCAAAGGAAAAGATACCGATCAAAGGCGAAAGGGCGGATGTTACGAAACCAAGAGATAATTTACGACCTGAAGGCGACTTTGTAAGACCTCAGAAATCACCGATTGGCCCAGCAGAACGACGTACACCAATTCGACACGAAGACAATTTGCATCCAGAGGGTGAATTCGTTGGTCGACCAAAAGATGATTTTATTCCCAAGCGCGTCGATCGACCAATTCAAAAGAAGCCTAAAGATAATTTGAAGCCTGAAGGAGAATTCGTAGGAAAACCCAAGGATGATTACAAACCAACTAAAGGAGAGAGAACTGAAATCGTGGTGCATCAAGACAATTTGAAGATGGAAGGCGATATAGATATTTATCGATCTCGAGATGATTACGTAACTACGTCTAAGCGTGAACGTGTGGATATTGTTCATCATGAGGATAATTTGAAAATTGAAGGTGAATTCGTTGATATTCATCGACGAGATGACTATCGAGTTACTCGTGGTGAACGTAGCGAAGTTATTAAGCGTGAAGACAATCTTTATCCTGAGGGTAATTTCGAACGACCAGAGAAAGCATCGATAGGTCCCGCAGAGAGAAGATCTCCTATTAAACATCCTGATAATTTAAAGCCAGAAGGCGATTTTGTACAACGATCGAAGGAAACCGTACCTATTAAAGGTGACCGAGCAATCATCAAGAAGCCGAAAGATAACTTGAAGCCCGAAGGTGAATTCGAGAGACCAGCAAAATCACCCGTTGGTCCCGGCGAACGACGATCACCCATTAAACATCCCGATAATCTTCATCCGGAGGGAGAATTCGTTGGCAGACCGAAGAAAGACACTCCGCTAAAAGGCGACCGAGCAGATGTGAAGAAGCCAAAGGATAATCTTCATCCCGAAGGAGATTTCTACATAGTGCCTAAGGACGATTTTATTCCAAAGAGAGGAGATCGATCGCCGGTTAAAAAACCTCAGGACAATCTTCGTCCCGAAGGTGAAATGAAAGTATCTCCGAAAGATGATTATAAATATGTAAATGGAGATCGCGTAGAAATACGTCGGCATGAAGATCACCTGCGCATGGAGGGACAAATAGACACTCATCGCTCGAGAGATGACTATAAGAAAATCACGAGAGTGGAGAAAGTGGATGTTAAGAGACATGAAGATAATCTTAGAATGGAAGGCGAATTTATCGACGTGCGTCGCAAGGATGATTACGTGCACGTGGTTGGTGAACGCGTGCCAATTAAAAAGCGTACGGATAATTTACGTCCGGAAGGAGATTTCGACAGACCTCAGAAGATAGTGATTGGGCCCGGGGAGAAAAGAACTCCAATCAAGCACCCGGATAATCTGAAGCCAGAGGGTGACTTTGAACGTAGAACTCCGGATAAGATTGGTCCCGGCGAACGACGATCGCCGATTCGTCACGCCGACAATTTGAAGCCAGAAGGTGATTTCATCGGACGCTCACGTGACGACTTCACTCCCAAAAGAGCAGAAAGAATCGAAGTCGTAAAAAGAGAGGATAATCTAAAGATGATGGGCGATTTCGAAGGCACAACGTCTCACAAGTCGACTTACACAATAGTTCGTGGAGAACGAGCGGACATTAAGTCACACGAAGATAACTTAAAGCTTAACACCGGCACTATGGAAACAAAAACAACCAGCAGAGATACTTATACACTTTCTAAGCATGAACCTTCTCCCGCTGGTAAAACGGTAAATCGTCGAAGACACATGGAATCATCTATTTCGCTCGGTGATGACACCACCGTGATGACTACGACGAATCAACGTAACTACAATACCTACACGAAACGTACAGGAAAGGATATCGCTGCTAAAATGAGTCAAATAGAATCTGATACTAGGAAGACCGTGGAATCGCAAACTTTAGCAGATGGCACTGTCGTTACGACCGTAAAACGTACAACTACTTCTGCTCAGTCAGATCAGAGAGCTGCCAATGCTCAAACTCTCTCTCATCATCAACAAACACAACATATTACGGATCGTCGTACCGCTCAACCAATTGATGTTTCATCATTTGGACCACAACCCGTGGATTCACGAAAAACGACTTCTCAATTAGTGTCTAATCAGCATCATGAACAGCATCAAAGAACTCATTTGAACGAGCAACATTTGCGATCGCAGAACGTGCAGAGTCGTCGAACAATCGAGGATAAATCATTCACGGAAGGACTAAATCGAGGGCAAATCGTGCGAGCGGAAGATACATCTCGTTACGCGATCGACGCCACACACGGCGAGCACCATAGACAGCAGCATCAGCAGCAACAGCACGTCGAGCGTCATCATCAGGAAATGACCAAGCGCGATTATGTGAATGCGCAACATATGGAAACTCGACAAAGATCCGCGACGAAGCAGCACGAGCAGCACACAATCTCCACTCAGGCGCGATATAATTCAAGCAGCCCGGAATTCCGACAATCAATCAACGGGCAAACGACTTCAGAACGATCACACATAGACTCAGCCACGAAGTTCGGTCACCACCGCAAGAACGTGATATCCTCTTCGTCAGCTGACATCAGCAATGCGGTACTCCATCGACGTGGCGCAGCTTCTTCCACCGAGGCGCTTCACACGATTTCGTCGACGGCGGCGGACCAGCGCAAAAGTATTTCAAATCTGGCCGAGAGCGGACAGTACATCAGTAATTCGAGCCAGAGCAACGATAGACGTAGCTTGACTTCGCTGCATCGCAGTTCTAAAGAAGTCAATCCTTGGGCATCTTCCAGCTATGAACGCCCGCAGAGAATCATTCGGCAAGATAACCTGAGTGTCGGCGGGAAATTCTATTCACAAAGCGAGGCAAAAAGCTATGGAAACTTCTCACAAAGTACTCAAAAAGTAGAAAGAGTCCAGAGGCAAACGAATGCATCTCACATTAATTTGGGTGATGGTAGTACTGTCAGTTCCAGTATGTATAAAAAAGAATACGTTCCTAGGCACAGAGGACCGTGTCCAGCTGCTCTTTTGGAAGCCAAACAGGCGCCTTTCAAACACACCAGAGACACGCAGAAACACAAGTTTTACATGCCCGTTGTGTCCAATTAAATTGGCCTATTAAATTTAACGTTTTACTAATTTTTTAAAAATTTTACTAACGTTAAAGTGCTAAAATCAAAATTTTGTTTTGTAAAGATGATCAAAATTATATGCAACACATTTATTATCGTGCATAATATTTTTAAGCAATTTTTTGTTATATATCGATTATTAAGTAAAAATATATATAATAATTAATTATATACATAATAATCAATAATAATTAATTAATTATTATACGATCATAATCAATAATAATAATTAATTAGATTTTAGAATCAATTATAATTAATTATTATTATATTATTAATTAATAATTAAAAGAGAGAATATAAAATCATGTAATTATATGTAGTAACAGTAAATATGATGTGTTACTATATATAGAAAATTTTCTTTTTCAAAGTACTCGAATTTTGCCAAGATTAAATCCGAAAAGGATTTTTTGAATAATGCTGTGATGATATCGCGCTGTTGAAAAATTAATTTATATTTTATAATCGCTAATATTATTCTGAGTAAAAGTGAGTACTACAATCGTTTCTAAATTACAATATCAACAGATGAAATTTAATTTATCGTGTCCCTTGTATAGCAATATTAAATATAAGCTGTTAAAATACGTATATACTTAATATACACAATTTCTTTTTAGGATGCAGTTACGAATGAAAATAATTGGTCAATATAAGTATATAAGTATTGATTATACCACTAACTTTTATCTACCGACTATAGGTAGCCGCCCGTTATATATTCCTTTCTTCTTAAAACACGTGTATACAAAGCAATAACTAGAGCTTAAATCCATAATATGGTCGAATCTAATAGAGCATTAGTGTCGTCCGATAATTAGGATAGTAGGTGCAATTATGTTATTCTATTTCACTGACTTTATAATATAAAGTTTTTATATGGCAATGAGTTTTTTGCTTATGTTTTATTTAATCTTCAGCTTATTTTATTATCGCACTTATTTAGCATTGTATTCTAAGAATATATTTTCAGCAAAATATTAAAAAAAATACATGATTTTTTTTCTTTCCTCAAATGGATAATTCAATTTCTGGATGTTGGTTTATTTACTTTATAACCTTTATTTTATTCGAATAAAATAGATTTGTATTAATTTGTTGCATGAGTTTTATTTGTTACCATTATATTTATTTTATTAATGCATTTACACGATCAAAACGCACATGATATTATTTGTTGTTTGTACAATGCAATATACTATACATTCGCTATATAGTTGTCACAAAAATTAATTATTAATTGATAAAAAGATTATAAAATAAATTAAACTACATAAAAGCAATTAGAAATTTAGATTTAGGATTTTAATATTAACATTGTTGAGATCTAATTTATAAAAATAGTTTTGGTGTCAAATATTAAATAAATTAATTCAAAGGATCTGCCATTAAAATAACGCAATAAGAATGTATATATGTATATTAAAGTGATAACCTTTTATTAATACTATTAGCATGGCCATAGGCTGTTCACAAATAATGTGAATAGATGAAACTTTATCGGCCTCATTGCTGATATGAAAAAAGATCTTATGTTTCTAATTTTTTTTAAAACTTGGCTGCATAGACAATAATGGCTCTGGTGTGTACATTAGATTTTACGCACTTAGAGGTATCTATATAAAACTAAATACATCGAAAGATATAAAAATGTTATTTTTTTACTGTATTTTTACTAAATCCTGAAATATATATGGCAGTTTCTCTCTAAAATATATCTATATTTCAAGCTAAATCCAAATCAAGTGAGTGCAAGAAAGAGAATGAACAATTCGTAACTGTGCCGTTCACATTCATCGAAACAAGTTGTTCATGTCATTCATGTCTGTTCGCACTTACTTTCTTTATTTGAACTTGATTTAAAATAATAACTTTGAATCAAAAAATTTAATAATATCAAATCTATTATAATTCGCGCGCAATATTATTGTGTAGATAGATATGTATAAAAATATAGCATTATAAAAATGTATGTGATTGTACATTTAGATAAACAGTACAATAAAAAATAGTGCATTTTATATTTTTTAATTTTTCTGACGTAGAAAGATTTGCATATTGATAATTTTATATTGAAATTTCATAATCATGGGTTTTTCATAATTATGAAAGAAATTTATTTACTTATGCCCCTTAAATTATAGAAAGCAGGAATCAAGAAATCTATGTGCATATTATTTCTTATAGATGCAAAGTAATGTTTGATCTTTTATTAATAAATTATTAACATTGGCCTTAGCTCAAAAAATATTGCGCAGAAAGAGAAAGACGATAGTTTAATTAACAAAACCTCATGTCACTTGCTGGACTTTAGAAACACTCGTAAGCGCATTTGTGCTATTTGGCTATGTAATAGACATATATAGAGAGATATATATATAGACATATATAGACAAATTGTTTATTATTAGTTTGTAAATTTTATATATATTAGGTGTTGGAATTAATTCGTAGCGTTTTTAATGAAAGAATGTTATTTATTTCACATGAGCATTAAAAAATACATTAATGAAAGTACTTCCCATCACTTGTAAAACGCTACGAATTAATTCCAACACCTAATATATAAAACCTGTATATAAATGGATCACTGTATTTAACTTTTTCAAAACATATCTTGTGCGATTGGAACGATAAACAGCAACTATTTCCCATATCAACGAGACAAAATATTAATTACTTATTTCAACAGAATATATATATATATATATATATATGTATTTATAATAAGATAAAATAAGGTTTGAAATTGCAGTACCGTTACTACCTGTTCCTTGAAGCATCTCTCGTTCTTTCCGTCTTCTTTTGCTTCATCGTCACGCTCTCGACGACGGCTCAAGAAAGAAGAACAAGTACGATACAGCGCCTGTGGGCGATTCACCGTTTCTCGCTTTTTCCCCTTCGTTCACCCTCTTACTTTTATACCTATGCCTCGTGAAGTCTCAGGGTTGTTAACCCTCGCAATGAGATTGTCGAAAATTTCGCGTTGGAATGGAGATTTCACTCCGGGCAACTTTCATCTCTCTCTCTCTCTCTCTCTCTCTCTCTCTCTCTCTCTCTTTCTCACACGAAAATTATAGGCTTCCTCTCTAATTACTCGATCTCGCTCGAATTCGTTCAGCAAACTTTCGATGTGACCGATCAAAAGGAACGTTTTAGCTCAACAATCAAAACTTTCTTTCATTCAATGGACCAACGTGCATAAATATAGTATTATATTAATATTATCTATTTTCATAGGTAAAAAATGCAAAATTTATGCTGGAAAAATTATGAGCTATCAAATCGAGTACAATAATTTCAATCAAATGTTTCGCTAATATAATAAAAATAATTTTACTTTCTTATAAATATTTAGTAATTTTGATCAAATATAATTAGTTACATTATTATGTTTAATAATACTAAATATTTAAAAAAGTAAAATCATTTTTTACTATCAACCGAATTATTTTGATTAAAATAATTTTATTCAACATTTGATAACTATTACCAGAATTTTTTCCTATGTACGTGTATCTTTCATAGAATTTCGAGTTTATGCATCCTATACGTTTTTATATTATTACACAAGTTCTAGTTTCTCGTTGAAAAATAAATATATTTCTCTCACAACTCGTTATTGAATAATAATCTTTGCTTATCCGTCGCGCTGATTACATACTGTATATATAATTAATGTAGCATCAAACTGTTATCAGCATTTCTTTTACGTTTTATTGCTAATGTTACATAAATAATTAAGACCGCGATCTAGTTACATGCGAGTCGAACGATTAAGATGCCGGCCTATTAACCGCTAATCGACGTCGATCGTAATTACATGGCGCGTCCGCAAAGTGGCACGATTCTAAGGAAGTAGTTTGAGATCGTTGCCCTCTTTTCCTGGCCTGTCGCAACCTCGCAGTCTATATCACGGGAAAAAAGACATAAAAGAAATGTCTATAAAATCGAAAGGATAATATTATCGCGATTATAGTCAATTCAATGTGTAAATCCAATATGCTTGTCGCGATGCGTTGACGCAAATGAAGACGAGCGCACATTTTCATGTAACGTAGTTACATACAGATAGAAATACAGATAGAAAAAGGTAGAAGTACAAAAGAAGTACAACGACCCATTAACCGGCATGCTGCCGTCGCTATCATCGTCATTGTCGTCTAGATCTTCCAAAGTGGTACGATTCGAAATGGCCAGACACGCCGAGAGCGTTGTCCTCTTTTGCGCGAATCGTCCATTACCTGCAGGCGAACGTAAAGTCACCTGATGCATACCTCTCTACCTCCCAGAGGCAGGCCGGAGGCAATCACTGGTCCTTTTTATCTCTCTCTCTCTCTCTCTCTCTCTCTCTCTCTCTCTCTCTATCTCTTTTTCTCTCTTTCTTTCCATCGCGAAAAAAACATTCGCTTTCACGAGTCCAGGTCTTCGTAGGCCTCTCTTTCGTTTACCCGATACACGAGGCGCGCGAGAAAAGATATGCCACACGCGAGGAACCTGCGGTGAAATCCGCGATTTCTGCCGGTTTCTTCCGCAAGGAACTTACACGCTGCAGAACTGGCACAGTAAATCTGACATTTATTTCGAGCTTGGTACGAGTGCAAAAAATCCTAAGACTGCGAGATTGGCAATTACTCCATTAAGATATAAATACCCTCACGTCGTGAAATTTGTGACATATCTTTCTTTTCATAAATGAAAATGAAGCATACCTCTTGGAGAACAGATAGTACCATTGCCGATCACATGTACTTAGAAAAAAGGTAGATAAATCAGTCTTTGTTTAGATTTTCACGCTTGTTGTAATTCTTTCCATCACTCGTTTCATGGCATGATAATAATGCGCCTTCTTAGGAACTTTTCGGTAAAAAGTTCGAACGAAATTCTTAGCACACGACCTCGTTGCACCGTTACCGCCGATTACCACCTGCATGTACGTACATTTGGAGTTTCTCATTACGAGAACGTCGCCGATCTGCAGTTCCCTGGTCAAATCGCGATCACCATGGTCGTTGCCGTTAAACGACCGAATTTGATACGCTCGCGAGCACCGCCCGATCAAACCGATTTTCTATTATGCTGATTTCACGCGCTCGTGCGTGAACGCATGTTGCCGTGCGTTGCAATTTTGCGGTCGCAACACTAAGTACTCATTAACGTGTCCCTTATTTGTAGAGCACATTTTTTTTTTACATTGTTGAATTTCACCTTTTCTCTTCTATTATAACGTAATAATATAATAAATTTCAAAGTAACTCGAGAAATAGAAAAATGAGAAGTTCAAAATAACGTTTAACGGATGTACATCCCATTTTTCAGTAAGAAATAACTCATGAAAAAAGTGGAAGCAAACATAATTATGTACTTTCTGTACGTATAAGATATATGGGTATTATTATAGTTTAACGTTAATATTTTCTTATTATTTGCATAAACAGAAAGTAGCGTAAATGATTTTCTAGCCGGCACGATGTTCACGCTTGGTGCATAGAAACTAAGGAAAAACGCCGTCCTAAGCTGTAATTTTATTGTCGGCGCGAGAAACCAAAACGTACGTATTTGCAACGGCGCTCGTTCCAGCAACCCAGATCTCCGCGCAATGGAAATATACCGTTAAAACGTGCTACAGGCTTACAGCCGTTACTCCTCGTTCGACGAATCATTGACTGGCAGGAATCCTCCCCGGTTCCTCTGATTCTGGTTCTCGAGATCGGTCCACAGATTATTTGGCTAAATTTCTAGAAGAAGAATATTTGGAATTTCTACCCATGTATGATACGACTATCGAGATATCCCCGACTAGAAATCATTAAACATTCGATTAACACATGTCGTCATAAAGAGACATTAGGAAGATGTATTTTAATAACAATTTATAGCTCAATAATTAATTCTAAATACGTAATTCTAAAGATCGTATCATACGTTAAAATAAAATGTTTGGATGAAGTGTTTTACGTCAATTACAATCGGCGTTTGCTTCTTTCTTTTAGATCTGATTCTACGGCGTCGTGCAAATTTCCGGCATGCTGCCTTCACACCCGCATATTTGTGGCGCTTGCACGATTCTACGAGCGAAAGTACTTTTAGCACAGCGAATTATTGGCGGTACGCTGACGGTGGGAAAGAGGATGGCATTCAATGACTCCCGGCGCGTCTGACAGATTCACTCGTTCTACTTCTCTGTTACCCGGGTTCTGCGGTTTCGCGAAGCAAGACGTTACCGCATGTCCGACACGTCTGACGAGATTACCCACGGGGTATGTCGGTGAGAAGCGCGTTATTGACGTAACCGGAATAAATTTTCCTCTCCTAATGTTAATTCTCACGTGACTGTCACGTCATCGCGGGAGCAATACGATATCATCAATTCATTTTAGTTGCACAAATGCAACTTTCGCTCCAACGCTCGGCTGCGCGAAATCAGCAACGAGGTACGCATATACGTACATGCATGCGTGCCAATATTTTTACAGAGTGCACTTCGCTTAACACTACCATAACGATTCGTTGCCGAGTCCGTACGTTATATTTACGGCAAAAATATACGGGAATCAAAGCCGGTTATATCGTTTCCCGCGGAGCGATGGTCCGTGTAGTATGTTGGAGGCGTTTATATGGCGCGATTACCGCTCGCACGATATATTGCGCTCAAATACTTATTGACGTAACTGGAGTAGCCTTCTTTCCTTTCCTGTTAGCTCTCTCTTCGTGACCAAAACAGCCACGGAAGCAGTTTTCCGCATCTCTATCTTATAACCGATTATTCCAAAAAAGTAAGTAAATGAAAATTTTAATGCTAAATGGAATACGAACACAAGTTGCAGTTTATTGTACGTATTTAAAAAATGTTTATACTGTATTACTAAAATTAAAAGCAGAATATAGAAACCTAGCAGTAAACTATTTTCTAGGTACGATCTAGTATCATGAATCTTGTAATTTTCTGAAAAGGAGCTGGTAACTCCCGCTATTTACTCAGTTCATAGAAATCTTTAACGGAATCCAAATGAGGACTTCACTTGAGATAAGAACTTATATTAAAGTAGAGAAGAGTAGATTTACATACGTTCTCATACGCGGCCCAAATACATGCGGGAGTCGAGATTTATTAGTTGCACCGAGCGAAGCGTCAACGCTAGTAATGTCCAGGCTGAGAAAGATGATTCCATGACGAAGTAGGAAAGTATAATATACGCGATGGAGAGAAGGTGTACCGAGGAGCTCGCCGCTGCCGCCGGCACTTTTCTCCTGGCTAATCGTTATGGAAAGTCTGCGGATAATATGGGACGTTGTGCGCTGCGGAATCTCATGTAGAATCGAAGCCGCGCGCCGTCCGTCGCCGACGTTGCTGAAGCGAGGAAAATTATACATGGGGGAGTTGGGATGAAGCATGAGAACTTAAATAATCGAATAAATCAACCGAATAAAAATATATACTCGAAATGTCGTTACTATCCGCATATAACAGAGAAAGAGAGAGAGAGAGAGGGTAGAGATATTGAGTAAAAAGATGTTCTCGCGTGGTCTGCATGACATCTGGTCGGTACAAGATATTGCAATTGGAAGAAGATGGAACTTTGCTGAACCCGTAACAAATTTCCTCGACCATTAACGATCCTTGTTTAAGCTTCATCATCTTCTTGCTAAAAATCTTTCGTAGATAATATGGGACGCAGAATCTCGTAGGATCGCTTCGACACGTCGACGACATTGCTGAGGAAAGGAGTGGTACACCCGGAGCGAGAGGATGGAAGAACGGTCGCTGCGCCAGCCAGTGTAAAGGAGATTGGCAACCTAACGGGGAGAAAGAGCGATTGCTCCCGGAGCGAGAGGAAGCAAGAACGAGAAAAGGGAATGTACACGAGCAAACGGGACAGACCCAAGTGGTGGGTGAGAAAGAGAACGATGGAGTGAGATGCATGGAGCGAATGAGAGAAAAAGAGGGACGGTGTTCGTAATCAAAGAGGCAACCCGCAGCGCGGCTGCGGCGTGGAAGAAAGTCAGCCTACCGAGTGGCTCATCAGTCCGGCACAGTGCGGTGTCCCGAATGCACGTCGAACCATCGATTTTCCGCGTGTTCTTGCCACGTGATTCTGTTCCGAGTATCACGTAGAACCGCACGAACACGTTCGTTCACCGGTACCAAGTGGAAGCCACTCCAGCCGACTCCGATTAACTTCGATGCATCGCTCCGATCTCCAACGCAACGAGATAGCGGTCTCTCGCGTCTATTGGACATCCGCATTTTGATAGAATCACGCGCATACAGTAGAAATAATTGAGAAAATTTTACTGGAGGATGCACGTATAAGCTATTAGAGAAACAAAAGTGTGAACGGAAGAATTAAAAAATCGTGGATTCGACCTGCACGAGTGTTAGACGGACCGTAACAACGATCGAAGGATTTAGCAATGCTCATGAATGGTATGTAACACATGATAATCATCTGGAAAATTACAAAGAAATGAGAGAAGAGATCATCGCAATATCAAGGATATTCCTTTCTGCGTTCATTCTCTTTATGTGGTTTATTAGTAACGCTAACTGCACTTTGTAGGAAATGCAAAACGTTGCGAAAACAAAGACGAATGAAATATAAAACGATTGCTAGGCAGAACCTAAAGAGACACTCTGAAAAGTTCCACGTCAGACATTCTTTAATGTCATGTTCTCAGTAATTCATGTGTTCATGAGAGATTTGACATTTATCATTCTGACAGATTTTAAAATCTTATATTCCATTAAATACTATATAAAATTTTTACCTGTTATAACACGCCTTATTCGGTGTCAGAGATAAAAGAATGTTTAATCTATTTAGCAATATTCTATATGCATACATTATATGGCTTCGGTACGCGTCATAGAAACTACTATATTTCAACAATTTTAACTTGCATGTAATCTTCTTTGAAGAATAGAAAATTTCAAAATACGTAAACATTTTTATTAAAAAAAAATAGCGATTATTTTACACCAGTTTTTGTACACAAACTGATAAATAAAAGAGTTCCAGTTTTTCATTATTTGAGAGACGTTATTATCTCTCGCAAAATCAGTTTCAAGTATATGAATATAATATAAAGTTAAATATAACGATGCTCTCATAATTTTTTGCTGGCCAAGTATCCTTTATTTATAAATAATTATTCTCAATTTCGTGAAAGTTTCAGCGCATGCATATGCTACGCTTCAGGTAGGAAGCATACAAAAAAAAAAGAAATTGTTATGCATGCGCTGAACGTGATTATCTGCCGATCGAAGTGCAAAGGAAGTAGTGTTTCAACATCGAGAGAAGAAGCAATTACCACTTCTTACACAGATAATGAACATTAAAATAAAATATTAAAAACAAGATAATTTCACGCCAAAATTATTTTATCGTGCCAAAGTTTTCTCTGACACCAATCGGCATCGTCAAAATATTCATCAAGTTGATCGAAAATTAGTGTGAAATGTTTTTATAAACAGAGAAAATTGCTTGACATCATCTAACGATTTTTTTCTCACAGTTAAATTGTCGAATCTGGTAAACACGTAGGTATCTTCCCACGCACGTGGTACAGTAACACGTAAATATTGTATTTTTCTTCGTGCGGTGGTTGCGAGTCACCGCGTCGCGTCGTTGCGATTGAATACCGTTTTTCCAGAACAGCTGGAGCTTTGGCAACTTTTAAATAATGAATGGAACACGTTGTCAAAATCCACGAAGCGTGTCGGCGAGCGCCAGTCGTTGCATAACGCGGCGCACTGCGGCTGGGAAAATGCGGAATTCCAAAGGCTCGTATAGCCATTTAGCCAAGCACAGGTATTTCCACGCGTAACAGTTGTAGCGCAACATTAATGGCCATCCAATGAATTTCAGTGACTTCATAGATATACGATTTGTATCCATTAGAACATACGACTTCGTGCTTTCCTCGCGCCTAATTACTTCAATTATTCGTTCAGTGTTAGTACGATGCGGCCGCTCGACATTGCCCGCGAGC